ACAGTGGTCAGTCTCAGCGAGCCCTTTGCTCCCCTTTTTCAGGCTTTCCCAAATAACAGACGAAGAAACACCTATGGTTTAAGGACTGCAGGACATGCAGCTGGGGAAAAGGCAGACAAGCCTGCTTTAAGTAGGATTACTTGTAAAATTCAATGCAAACTATCTTCTGCACCTCAAATATCACTATTGAAAAACGATAAAATAACTTCTTTAGTGGCACCTAATACAAAACATTTATAGCTAAAGCATAAGCAATGGGGAAAAAAGCTTATTCCTCCTCAGATTGATGCTCTCAGCCTCTGGTCCTTGGGATTTCTGGGATTTCCTTGGTGGGAAGCTGCAGCTGGATCGAAACATTTAAACAGCCACATCACAAATTTTTCCCCAGAAGAGGCTGCCCGACGCCAGTTGATACCTGCTGATCCTTTCACATTACAAAAATAAAGTGTACCTGGCCCAAAAGTTTCCTGGCAGGTACGGCTTGGCACGCTTTCAAGCGTGAAAGGATGGACTGAGGTGGGGCAAAACACGCAAACTCTGGGGTTGGGAAGAGCCTCACCTGAAGCAGATCCACTGCGTCGGGTGACAGAGCTTTACTCTCTTGATTTATTGCACAGCTGGGACCCTGCGACTAAACCGACTCATTCCCCCCTCCCTGGGGGCTCCAAAACTGGTTCCGACTTTCAATTTCTGCAGGTGGTCATCAGGTGAATCGAGCCAAAACACCATGCAAATATTATTCACAAGAAATAAAAAAGCCTGAAAACCATGGAATGAATGCTTCTTATTCTGGGTTTATGTCACTTTAAAATGAACACCTCTAACATTAAACCGAACCACTCACAGATGCCCAGAGTCAATTCCTGGCAGCCAAGCGTTACGCGCTCCCATACATGGGCACGCAGCGGTGTTCATTGCAAAGGCCAGCCCAGAAAGTGGCTGGCAAGTGAGAGTCGGTCAACAACCAGTTTCCAAATTCAAATATAATCACCACTGAATGGAGAAAAAGCAATAAAATCACAGCGATGGGTAAAGAAAGTTCAAAACTTGCCTCCAAGCTGGTGTCAGACACATTTAAATTAATTGCAGAAGGGACGAGGGGGAGATGTCATTTAAAGATGATGCAGAGAAAGAAAATTTTTGGTGAGAGAATTCTGCCTGTTTTTTCTGATATATTAGCTATCAAGTTTATTCATAAAGAAACTTGGTTCCAACTGATTTGTGAGTGGAAAGCCCTTGATTTCAGCTTCTAAAAAAGTCCCCATCTACCCTGACTGCCCCTTTCCCACTGCCCTGTCTGGGAGCTGAGGTATGACATCTGTGCTCTCCTGCCTTCTTGAATGTCCTCTGGCCAACCAGAATCACAGAATCGCTCGGTTGGAAAAGCCCTCTGAGATCATCACGTCCAACCGTTCCTGTCTACCCCCTAAACCATATCCTTAAGTACCTCATCTACCCGCTCCTTAAACACATCCAGGGATGGTGACTCCACCACCTCCCTGGGCAGCCTGTGCCAGCTTCTGACGACCCTCTCAGTAAAGAACTTCCTCCTTATCTCTAACCTGAACCTCCCTTGGCACAGCTTGGTGCCGTTTCCCCTTGTTCTATCCCCCATCACCTGGGAGAAGAGACCAGCACCCACCTCTCTACAAGCTCCCTTGAGGCAGTTGTAGGTGGTGATGAGGTCTCCCCTCAGCCTTCTCTTCTCCAGGCTAAACAAGCCCAGTTCCCTCAGCCGCTCCTCATCAGGCTTGTTCTCCAGAGCCCTCACCATCCTTGTGGCTCTCAACGCAGCTCGTCCGTTGTCTCTGCTTGAAAACGAAGGAGGGTGCAAAGCCTACAGTAATTCTTCATTCAGTACTCAATACACAGTCTGTGAACAGTGCTGAGTGTTAAAAATCCCCCAGATATTTGAAAAGGCAGGAAAAATAGTGTCCTTTCCCAGGCAGTCACAATCCTTTGCCTTCATGCATGTGACACTACTGTACAGATTATTTTTCCAGTCACTCAGAGGGAGAACCAAACCCCACAAGGATGGGATGCAGGGCAGAACATGCTGAGATTTATTATAAACAAACAGCTCCTCTGACAGCCTTTTTCCCCTTCATATATCTTCAAGAAAGGAAAAGCACAGTCAAAGCAGTCGCTCAGCAGGCACCACAGGGCACCAGCACAGGATGGAGAAGCTCCCATGTGTGACACCCACCATTAAGGAAACAGGAGGGAACGAGGGGGGTCCTACCCCCATCCAAACTGCAGCCCCAAAATCGATGTGTGCAGCACAGATGGATGGGAAGTTCAACACCTCCAGAGCAGCTTCCACACGCAGCCACTTGGTGCCAGCAGTGGATTCTGCATCTGCACAGCAGCAAGGACACATTAAATAATGAAATATAACGCTCTCCGGTGTTCTTCCTGCAAGCCAGGATACCCTGGACGCTGGACAAATTAGCCTAAAATATAATAGACAGTATTTTGACATTCATTAAAAGCCAACACGATGTGTAAGGAAATCAAAGGCATTCACAGGCGAGCAAGAAGGCAGGAGAGACGGGGCACAGTGCTTCACTCTCCACCTTGCCCCAGCTTCACTAGCCCAGTCCCAGAAGCAAGTCTGTACACCACAGCAGGAAACTTTCTACAGTCACTTAAAAGACTATTCAAACTTAAACATGTGTTAAATACTCCCGCTTTCCCCCTAAAAAAACCCCCACCAGACAGGATGAACACCTTCGTGTTCCTCTATA